ATCAATGCATATATCTATTGAAGAACAAAGGGGTGTGATTTATGGAATGCAAAAGGGCACCAACGTTCAAAGCCAAATGTCTTCAATAGACATGAACTTTGAACCTACATTTTACAGGAAGTATTTCTTAACTTTAATTTTGTTTGATCACATTTTTACTAATGAAAGTTTTCTATCTTTTCAGATCAAGAACATCCAAGGCATTCTTTTAAAAGATATGAACCTTTTCATAAAGGTACTTGTCGAATGGAAGGACTCAAGGAAATGAAGATCTTTCGATTTAAGGAAAAATCGATTAAAAGAATGGGAGGATGATGTGATCCAATTCATCATCATGTTTACAATGGCTATTCCACCCTTACAAGGGAAGAAACTTTCTAACTTTACACATATATATGTTTATTTCAAAAGTTTTAATATAGTTATTTTCATCTATATATATTTTATCTATAGTTATTATGACTTATCCATTAATATGTGAGATATAAGGTATTATAATATACTATAGTCCACATTCTTATATTATACATTATATAAGTTTATATACTTAATTTATTTCTTTATGTTATGCATGTAGGCATATTCGGCCAATACTTGGGAGCTACATTGGAGCTAAATGGAGCCTGCAACAACAAGGAAACTGACATAGGAGCGATTAGGAGAGCATACGGAGCAAATTGGTGAAAAGTTGTCTAAAGGCTGTGAGCTCATAGCTGGATTGAGCTGAAGATTTGAGCTACAAGATAACCTCATTTCAGCTGGGGAACTGCACCATCATCATGACCACTTAGGACACTTCAAATATGTCATAAGTCAAAATTTGTGAAATCGTACCTTTTCGCGAATAGTTGCCACCTCAAGAGGTACCTTTTCACAAGGAGCTGCCATAACGTTAATCATGCTACAAGTCATCTATGGCCAGCTCACCTCCAGCTCATTCACACCATAAGTAGCTTAAACATGAAGGGTTATATTTCTCAAACATTATGACCTTTCATGAATGATGCTGCCCATGAAGATGCCTTTTCATCTAAGAGCATGCTGGTGAAGAAATTGCAACCATTTGAGGCTTAAAACACCAAGGGAAATGATATAAAGCTCTATGCCTATTCGGCCACACACTTTCCATGCACATGAGAGCTTTTTGCGCCAACATGAGGAGATACATCACCATTCGACCAAGGGAGATGTCTTCCCATCCGTAGCTGAATCATCAAGCCCCTTCATGAAGGGTTAGCCGAGACATCACAAGCCCAAAGGACTCATTCATTCATTTTAAGCATTATGTACTTTCATTAAAAGCCATGTATCAACCGATTAGATATGTAACCATTCGGCCAAGGCCTCTCATTTCCTATAAATAGAGTGGCTTTCCATCATTTGTACTCATCTCATCTCATCTCATGTATAAAATTATTATTGTGAGTTAATTTCTCTTCAAAGTTCTTTGTGAACTTTATCGATTAAACAAGTATAATTCCTATAGTTGTGGCGTCATACCTTCCATCCTGATTCCAAAATCCCTAGATTAATATTTAGTGGGTTGAAGACACTATCACCACCCGTCAAGCAAGTTTGTGAAGAACGAGATTGTGCTTGCTAACATTGTTTCCTCTTTGGCGTGCTTGAGATACAATATCATCACCATCTCCATTTCAACATCAACACCATCAACATCATCCATCAAGACCATCAATTCTGCAACCATCTATATCCTATCTTTCTTTCATTTCTTTTTTATTTCCATTACTTATATTATTATATATTTCTTAAACCTATCATTAATCATATTTCTTTCTTATTTTATTGCAGCCCAAGTTTATTAATTTAAGGACATCAATACTTGTTAATCCTAGATCGTGGTACAATAAAACTATCTACTCTCTTCTATCAAAGCATGTTGAACAGCTTACATCACTTCGTATTTTGGTTGCAAAAGGGCTCGTTTTTTCTTTTTTTTTCGTTCGTATATACAAGTATATAACCATTCACCTAAAAATAAAAAAGGGTTCATTTTTCATTCTTTCTTCTGTTTTGCCTTTGCATGTGAGATGAGGGAAAGGAACCTCCTTTCCCCCGTTGATTTCGTCCAACGTGGCTTATCCAATTGCTGAAAGATGCTCTCGATAAAATTTGGAGCCTTTTGGTGAGGATAATGGTTTTCAGAACCGGACCGGTTAGCGAATCAGCCATGCTACCGGTTCACTGGTTCAACCGGTCCGACCTGTCGGAAGAACCGGACGACGTCATAATTATTTAAAAAATTAAATAAAAATACCAAAAATATTTAATAAAAAATAATTTTTATATCACAAGTCATATTCAAAGCAATTCATAACATATATAAATTAAAAACCATAAAATAAAGTGAAACAAAATGATTCAAATTAACTACAACATAATATTTAAGGTAAAATATATTAAATAATAAATATAATTATATAACTATAATTAAAAAATAAATTTGGGGCTAAAAAAATCATAACAAAATGATATTGTTTGGTTTAATTTAAAAAAAAAACAATCTCACATGGCTAAGAAACATAGAAGAGCATCCCAAAAGTCTAAAGAGTAAAAATATGAGAACAAAACAATCCCACATTGCTAATAAACATAGAAGAGCATCACAACTAACTTCTATAAATAATAGAGGTAATTTGGCATTCAAAATCATAGAGTCTTTTGGTGAGCATTGAGTGAACTATTCTTTCACTTCAATCAAGCTCGAATTTTAGGCTTCAATTGAGCTTCTAATTTTTTTTTTATTTCAAGCCTTTTTGAGTTCAAGATTCAATATTATATTTCGAGTTCGAGTTGAACTTATAATTTTTAACTTGTGAGTTTGAGTGGAGTTGAGCTTACTACTTTTAAAGTTTTCAAGTTCGAGTCGAGCTTAGCAATACTCGAGTTCGAATTGGCTCGTTTAACAAACGACGTTTGGTTTAATTTTTAAAAACAAAAAACAAAATTTTCGGTTTTTTCGGTTTTTTTCCAGTTTTTTCCGATTTTCTACCGGTCCGGTTCGAACGGTTCAGCGGTTTTGACCGGTTCACTAATAACGGTTCAACCGATTTAGATTAAACCAGACTAGATAACGGTTTACGGTTGAATATCCGATTTTTAAAACAGAGGTGAGGATATCTTTGTCAGTAGCGACTGTCATGGCAGAATGAGGTCTGTCAGGGCTAGCACGAAGGGGCTCATACATGGGTATGACCGACGTGGCACCTCACGAGGAATGAGGACCATCTTTGGCGCGTCGTATCTTGGGAGTGCATCTATAACGCGTGGGACGATTGAGTGATCCCGAGTACACTTCACGTATTGAGTCTGATCCATTTAGCGAATCTGAACATCAAGAGGCTCGTTATCTGAACCGTTGATCATTAGCATTCAAAGGTTGATCTCTCTTGGTAGCTAGGGTATAGGGCTCCTAAAAGGTGTGTGGGCGTGAGATTGATTGGGCTTAGGGTAGTATTTGGTTCGATTTATATTTTAGGCTAAAATGAGTTTGTAAAAATGGACTTTACTAAATTTGGACATTGATATATATTTGTTTTTGTAATATCTTTAAATGACCAGGATAAAATTGAGGTATTACAACATTTGGATGTATAAACTTTTTAATATATCAACAGTTGTAGGTATATTTATGGATAGATCGAGAGAAGAGTGGATGGAGATAATTGTTTTCTTAAAAAATTAAATTATCATATATTTTAATTTTTCTATTTTTTTATTAATAATATGTTTTTACACCCTTAAAATTTAAAAATTTACTTCTTTCATATAAGATTTTATGTTCGTTCCTAAACATAATGGCATAGTTCAAGTGATTTTCTTGCCAATAATACATACATAAAATACGAGTTTTGTTTCTTCTCAATTAAATCTTTAATATAATGATAAAAATATATTGTTCAAAATAAATTTTTATTTAATTTATAATACATTAAGATGTCATCCAACTTTGAGTGTGTTTTTATTTTGATGATCCAGTTATAAAATAATTCAATTGAATTATTATTAAACATTATATTTTTGTTTGTTTAAGTCACCCGTATGTTGATTCTTCAACGTACGTGGTTTGCCGCAGCAACAAAACACTTCATTTTTAACTTTTTTTTATAAAATAAATATAATATTTTAGTCTTTTTACTCCCTTTGATTGATATTTTTATTTATTATCGTTCGATCATCGTCGATTGCTAATTACGACATAATTAACATTAAAACATTCTCATTTCTTTCTTCTTCTCAAATCATTTATTTGATTGATATATTTATTTATTGTAGTTCAAAATCCTTTCGAAATTGATAGAACATAAGTCTAAGATTCGACCTTATCTTGGTACAATATGCATTCTTCATTATCTGATAAGCGTAAAACCATGATGTATTATTTTACTTCTCATTTCCGACCTCTTTATTGTATTAATTTTACGACGATGGATCAAAGGGGGTCTAAAAAGCTGGATTTGAGATTGTGATGTATGAAAGTGTAAAGAGATTTTGCTTAAATTTATCAATTTTCTGTTAAGCTTTTGGTATAATTTTTAAACAACGTTAAAGAATTAATAAGCAAATGGTCTAAAAGAACAAAAATTCAAGACTTTATTCATCAAGTTAAAAAGTTATAGTCGAATAATCAAAATATAAATATATAAAAATAGATGATTAAAGACGTAGTTTTGCTTTTTTATGTTTCTTCTCATGCCTTTTAAAATATGGGAAATCACAAGTCAACCTAGCCTCATCATTTGGTCGTGGTAGTTCAAAGCACCACCTCATATCCCACTTTCTTTCTTTTCCTTTTCTTCTTCGTTTTGATTTTTTCTTTTATAATGACGATCTCCGAATTATTAATTAATTAATCTAGATGAATACTGTAGAGGTAAGTCTGTCCCTCAACCCGAGTTCCTCTTTATTTTAATTTAACTTTTTATGCTTGTTCTCATCTTCTATATAGTTCACCACTCTCCATTATTCACTCCGTCACCATGGGAAACATGAAGGTGCATCAATTGGCACGTGGATTATGGGAGCACGAGCCATCCCCTTCCCTCTCCTCTTTCGACCATAAGACCTTCATTAGACCCAAAACAAAGCATCCCTTCTCCGACCACAGCCCGAATTCTCATCAGGTACACTTCACTAATTACATATATTCTTCACTTTCATGTGATTATAAGTTTAAGCTATGTTCGATCATTATTAATAATGAAAGCTTAATGAAGCAAAGCATGTTTACGTAGGTGGATATTCAACCAGGAGGCACAAGATGGAATCCAACGCAGGAACAGATTGGGATTCTGGAGATGATGTATAGAGGAGGGATGCGAACTCCAAATGCACAACAGATAGAACAAATCACCGCGCAGCTAAGCGAGTACGGCAAGATCCAAGGCAAGAACGTTTTCTACTGGTTCCAAAACCACAAAGCACGCGAAAGACAAAAGCAGAAGCGCAACTCAGCTCCCATTACCACAATCTCTCTGGAAAATATGGAGAGAGACGAGGATAGTCCATGCCAGAGAAAATGCAGGAGGTGGTCATTTGTGTGCATGGAAGAAAGCAAAGAGAAGAAAACAAGAACTCTAGAGCTGTTCCCACTGCACCCAGAAGGCAGATGATCAAGCCAGTCAAGGGGGTTTGAAAAAATGGAAAAGAGGAAAAAAAAAACTGTAGCAAAACTCTTTTCGCATTGTGATCTGCTTTGACAATGATGTGGTATATACTATATAGCTTTTGCTTTCTTTTCTTTTGTTTCGTGGAAAGAAGAAAGATAAAGTTGTCTTCATGCTCTCCAAAGATTCATTAGTGCTTCCGATTGTAGCCAAGACACAGGTGCCTCGAAATATAACTTCGTACAAAATTGAAGGGAAACAAAACAAATCTAGAACGAAACAAAAGTAAGTTTGTTGTCGTGGGCGTTGTTAAAATATTGAAAAATGCATCATCTAACTTATCTTATGATTCTATTGATCAGAAGACTTTCATAAAGTTGTATCTGTCTACTGCCTCTCGGGTTAGTTAATTTACGTTACTTTTATCACTAGTAAGTTAATTTAGTGAGATGAGAGACTAATTTTTTTAATTAAAATCATAAATTAAAATCTAAACATGCGAATGAAAAAAATTGAATTAAAAAGTTGTCTTCGGAATAGACGTCTGTAAGATCCAATCTAAATTATTCGATTAATAAATTATATACCAATTATTAATTAAAAAAATTACTTCGATTAGCATTTAAAACATAAGTTGGATAGTTGTTTCGTGGACAAGATATATACCCAAGCTAGGCTTAGGAATTGGAATGGAAAAATTCATGGTAAGAGACTATACATTTAAATGGAAATTGAGGGTTTTTTTTTCTCTGTAACCGACAGTGAATGTATTTTTGCTTTTTTTTTTTGTAAGAAGATACTTTGTATTATAAGAATAACAAAGTAACCATTCTAAGGACTTCAATAAAAACCTCCCTAATCCTAGTCGAAGGAAAAAGAGTATACCTTGAGGTGGGACAGAGCCAATTGCGAACCGAAACATACAACAACAATGTACAGCATACCATGGGATATATCCCAACCTAACATCTTAAAAAACTAAACAACCATAAGTCACAGACACCAACTTTGTCTAGGAACAAAGCCGAGCAAAACATCATACAGGTTAACCAAACAGCACATTACAGAATACTACAGAACAGTGACCATGAAAACCAACCTTTGCAAGCTCTTCGAAACTTGTAACTCGGCACCATGGAACTCCATTAACATACACCACGAACGATTGCTTCCGGATTTCGAATAAAATCATTCACCACTGGAATCAACATTGGTCACAAAAAATTCACCCAGACCCCTATCTGAAGCAAAGCTTTATAATAGATCTGATCTGTCGAAAAAGAAAAACCATTAAATCTGGTTTTGTTTCTACATAACCAGATTATCCAAATCAAACCAAAAAACCAATGCGCCATAGCCCCCGCACTCTTCTCCTAGTACTTTGAGCAAACCAAACCTCTAACAATTGACTCACATTCTTAGGAAACACTAAGTTTACATTCCACATACTACACCAACGATGCCAAGCTACCCAAGCTACAACACAATGACAGAGAACATGATTAATGGTTTCCAACTCAATTTTGCAAAACAAACAGCAAATCTGATCATTGCAAATGACACCTCTTTTAACCAACTCAAGCGTATTTGGCAGTCTAAGGTGCACTGCATTCCACACGAAGGCGAAAACTTTAGGCAGAATAAATTTAGACCAAACTAGTCTCCAAATTAGATCACCCAATTTGCCTTCAGAAGCCACTTTAAAACAGAATGCTTTCGTATTGTAAATACCATCTTGTGCTCCAGACATATGACTCTATCAGGACCTTGAACAGCACTAACCGCTCAATCCAAAACCTGCCTGAAATCACTCCAGATTGGAATTTCCCATTCAAAAAATGATCTTCTCATGACAATCCTCTATTCCCATATACCCTGAACCCAACATCCAAAATCCTTGATTTTTCTGCATTTATTATTTGCTAAACTGTAAATTCTCGGAAAAGCGATTTGAAGAGAAAAGTTTTCAGTCTAAAAATCTGACCAAAAATCGATCTTATTCCCATTGCCCATAACACATCTCAAATCGGCAAGGAAAACAGCCTCCAAAGACCCACACGAATTCACTATATTATGCCACACCCAAGAAGAATTTCTGACATTTACTACTTTAGGAATGATTGCATCTTGATCATAATTATACTTAGCAAGCACTACCTTCCTCCATAAACTATCATTTTCCACACTAAACCTCCAAATCCATTTATTAAGTAAAGAACGGTTTCTGGTTTTAACATCAAATATACCCAGCCCCTCATGAGATTTCAGTTTGCATATATTATCCTACTTAATCCAAAGAATACTCCTATCGGACTTAGCATTTCAAATAAAATTCGCTATGCATCTATTAATCATATCAACAATAGACTTGGGAATAGGGAAAACTGACATGTAGTACACAGGTAAAATAACTAGAACAAATTTAATAAGAATTAACCTTTCACCCAATGAAAGCATTTTACCTTTCCAACTTTTGAGCCGACTTTTAACTTTATCCAAAATGGGTTGCCAGAGAGACTTTGAATTCTTCGGATGGCCTAACGACAAACCCAAGTACGTCGACAGAAGCTCTGAGCAACCATAGTGAATCAAATCAGCCCAGCTCCTAACTGTACCACCTTCCAAATTGATACCAAATAGCTTTGTTTTATTCATGTTCAGCTTCAAACCAGCATCCACTTCAAATATTTTTAGCAATCGATTGAAATTTATAATTGATGTCGGGTTTCATTCGGAAAAAATGAGCAGATCATAAGCAAATTGAATATGTGATACAAAAAAACCACTGGACCCAATCTCCACTCCACGACAGAGGCCCAAAACGAAGCCTTCTTTATCATACCGCTGAGCGCCTCGCCAACAATATTAAAAAGCATCGGCGATAACAGACAACCTTGTCTGAGACCCCTATTGATTGAGAAACTATTTGACGGACAACCATTAGCTAGGACGACAATAGGAGTAGAAATACAAAAGTGAACCCTATTTCTGTATCTTTTACCGAACCCCATTTTCTTGAGAATCATGTTTAAGAACTGCCAATCAACCGTATCATAAGCTTTGCTAAAATATGCCTTGATCAACACAGCTTCTTTCTTACTCTTCGATAACCCGTCAATGACTTCATTGTCAATCAAACTGTAGTCGGTAATTTGCTTACCAACAATGAAAGCGAATTGATTCTCTCCGATCACATCAGCAAGAACACTACTCATCCTCTTCGCCAAAACCCGAGAAACGATCTTATACAAGCTGCTCACCATGCAAATTGGTCTGAAATCATCCGGGGAAATAACATCAGCTTTCTTTAGAATAAGCGTAATGAAAGATTTGTTAAAAGAGATGTCATATACTCTGTCCCAATAAAAATCCTCCAAAAAATTCATAACTTCTCCTTTAATATACATCCAAAATTTCTTTAAAATTTCCAAGCTAAATCCGTCCAAACCAGGCGCTCTTGAACCGTCAGAAGACTTAATGAAAAGCCAAACATCCTTTTCCGAAAAAAGACTCTCAATGAACCTTCTGGTGGCAGCATTTAATCTCTTTAGAGGGATGTCAAATTTCTTCAACGAGATTGTCTTCACCTCAATATAACCAACAGAAAAATAATTGACAAAAGCTTGTTGAATTCCGGCCTGATTTTTATAAAGCGAATTCTGAAACTTCAACTTAGAAATCTGATTTTTCCGACCTCTAGAAACGGCTGAGATATGTAAAAATTTTGTATTTTTGTCGCCTTCTTTGAACCACCTTAGCCTAGATTTTTATAACCAATCACGTTCTTCCTTCCTAGCAACAACCCACAATCTAGCCTTCAACGAGGAAATCTCCGCCTGTAACTGAGAATTACAAGGATCCGACAACCATTTCTCTTCTAACGAATCAATCTTTTTACCAATCTCTTCCACCGAGTCAGGATTCAACTCTATAAATTCTCTCTCTCTGATCTTGGTCGCATTCTTAGCCAGCAGCAACAAATTGTTTATACCTATACCCTTGTTAACCACACATAAATCACCAATTCTTTTTAACAAAGTAAAGTCTTCCGCCCAATAATTAAACCATTTAAACGGTCTAATAAACTTGCTTGACCTCTTCTCTTTTAAAATAATCAGATTGTGGTCTGATAATCCCCTAGGCAGTGAGCATTGAACCAAACTGGGACATATACTGAAAATTCAGTAGAGATCAGGAATCTGTCGAGCCTATTAGCTACTGCATTCCCACCACCCCTGAACCAGGTGAACGAGCTACCCTGATTAGGCACCTCAATCAGATCACTAGCATGATTAAACTCTTCAAAACTCCTTGACGCAGGAGCATAATCCTGAGCCCCTATTCTTTCAGACTTCCACCTAACAGAATTAAAATCACCCCCTACTATGATTAGAATACTCCAATTAGAAATAATAGACTTCAAAAGCTCGAAAAATTCTCTTCTATCCCCTTGCACATTCGGCCCGTAAACATTGATAATCCCAATCTCCCTGTTAGTCGAAACTAATCTCCCTTTAAGATCTATCGCTCTCCTATGAATGGATATGCTACTAACGTCAAACAAATCCCTGTCCCACATTTAAATCAGCCCACCCGATGCCCCTTCAGCAGGCGTAAAAACTACTTCCTAAGCGAAATTCCCTATTAATCTTCTTAACCGAAACCCACTTAACTCAGTTACCTTAGTCTCCTGTAACAAGATCAAGTTAACTTTACTATTAACAATAACCCTATAGACATCTCTTATTTTTTTGGGTTTCCTTAAACCACGTACGTTCCAAGATAAAACATATATATTATTTACCATAAGCTTGAATTACCCACAAAGATAGACGCATACAGTGCGCACAACAGAAATAGACTAACCCAAATCCTCAATCCCTTCTAATCTCTTCAGCACAACCCCTCTCGGACCTGAGAATTCCACTCCCAAAGCTTCTGCAACAACTAGGGCCTCATCCGCTTCAATGGTTGTGCTCTCCTTGCCACCATCATGCTTTCCGACTTTTAATCCATTTTGTTTCCCTCTGCTGCTAACAATCTTCCCTTTAGCTCGACCCTTGACTCCCTGTTTTTTCCTATTCACCTTGCTTAATCTTGTGGAAATTTTAAGATTGGTCCGATTCACCCCAATCGAAGCTGGTTTTGGCAAAATATCCCTACACGGATTTATAGGTTCTTTGTTCCTCATGAGAGGATTCC